TTAAGTCATATTATCAAGGGTTTTCAGACTTTCTGCTCACTTCTTGTGTTAAAGCGATTTTCAGGCCGAAGAAAAAAAAAACAGAGTGTTCCTTTAATTTTGACCCACATGACTCGGTTGTAATTGACGTTTACAAAAACAGTTGAAGACAAATTGCCATTTCCCCTCCTGACAAGAACCACTGGCATGACCTCGCTTCAATGTACAGTATAATTTCACAACACGTTATCAAATATCGAGACGCCCTCTGCCCGCCCGGTGGCGTCGGTTTTGTTTGTACTGAGCAACAGTGTTCATGAGCTGGTTGTGCTGAGTCAGAGGTAGTTGGAAGTCATGAGAAGATATTGCATATCAGTGACCAGAGAGCGCTGGCAACACCGTCAGGTTTCCTCAAACCCGAGGCTCCCTGGGGTTACAGTGCGAGATGAGACGTTCAGTGTCACACTGCTGCTGAATCCAGGTATCAAGTGTGTCAAGAGGTAATGTGTGGTTTGTTCTTGTGGTTTTTCTTGAGGTTTTGTTTTTCTCCAAGCCTCTGGATTTTCTTTGCAGTGTGACATCAATGATGGAATCAAGATTTTAAAGCTATGTCGTGCAAACAACAAACTGAGTGATGCTATGTACATAAGTGTGTTAATGTAAATCTGAAAAAAAACAGTAGTCTGAGGTTAGTTAAGGATGTGTCGTCTGAGCTTATTAAGGATGTAGAGAGTCGTTCTGTTGTTTTCTAGACCAATAAAAGAGGCGTGTTAAGTCCACCAAGAACAGGGGAAACAAAGCAGAGCTCTTGTAGTGTCTCAATAGTTTGCAATCTTGGTTACCTCTTTTAAAAATCTCTCTGACCCTGGACGTATCTCAAAAATCAAATCAATACATTTCAAATAAGCGGTATGGGAAATAGGCTCTAGTTTATCGATGTGGTCTATAGTGAGAGGAACATATGCTTTTAGGGCGTGTCCAACTCCAACAGGTGCATGTTTCAAAAGGGGTGTGCTCGGTAAATCATGGGTGTGTGTTGGGGCATAACATGCAATAAACCAATAATGCCTTCTCATATTCCCATACAAAGCCAGGTGGGTGTGGTCGCACCTTGGCGAGTAACTGTCACTTGAATGAATCATATTTTGCTTTGTGCCGGATAAAAGGGGGAACAATCATTTGTTAGCCTCAAGGGTTGGATTTTGTCAGCATTGAGCTGGCTCTCACAACCATCGTTTCTAGCTGCACTGATAAGAGGTATTAAGATTTTTAGTTGACTGAAATGCCTTATGAATTAATAACGTGTGATCTAACACGGTCTGATGCTCAATACAACGTAGGTGCGCACGTAGCCTCAGCCCGGGGCGGAGCATTCATAGTGTGTGTGTGTGAGACGAGTTGCAATTATAACACCAAAACTACTGGCTGTAGAGTTTCTGTGCTGGTGTTAAGTGTTTTGTGGTTTGTGGTCCACGTTTCTGTTTACTACACAACAATGACAAGTGTTATTAAGAGGACCATATTGGAGTTGGAGCTGATAGATGTTGAAGGATAATTACTTTTTCTTAAAGAACTGCAATGAAGAAAATAAAGACGTCCTCCGTGTTCGGTTCTTCAACTCAATTAAAAAATCACAACTCTTTACGGTCTGCATCGCCTCAACGTATATTTACATTTTTGGGGAGGTGCACGTCAGGGCACGGCGTGGGGCTCTGTGTAGAGTGCACGTCTACACTCAGGTTACACCATAGCCTTGATGCAAAAGCACGAATTGGGCTTTGGGTGTGCTAACACAGGAAGTGGGACTGCGAACTCCACTCAGGACGCCATTACGCCACTATATCTTTGCATAGAAAAGACTGAAGATATTTGCTGCTATATTGATGTTAAAAATCTCAAACTTTCCAGCTTGGACATGGCGTTTGTATTTTCTAAACCAATACATTTGTAGAATTCACCAGAAAAGGATTAAGAATTTGTTAAAAAACTAAATTGGGGGGTAAAACTGAAACAACCAGTCTAATAATAATTGATTGCTGGCATGGTTGGGTTTGTCAAGAGACGAGAGCATTTCCTCCCATGATGAACCTTTGTAGTGGGTGCTGCAGGGAACATGGATTTATATTTGTGAAATATAAAGATGATATATGATATATATATACAAGCTTGTTATGCTAACAACTTGAGCAAACTTCTTTGTCGAAGTGGCCTTAGCCCAGCCACTGCCCTGAGGAAATATCTCTGTGTCTCCCTGTCCTTGGTGGCTTGACACCAGTTTGGTTTGCATGTGGAGAGGGAAGGTCGCTCCTTTGTTTTAGAGCCAACAGTGAAATATTGGAACGGCAGACATTTGATCTTTCATTCCTGAATGACCAAACCAGACTGACCCAGTTTCTTTTCTACTGACGTCTGGAGAACCAGTGAACACCGACGGGGTATGTGATGGGGTCTGCTAATGCTCAGTGGCATTTGAAGATGATGATGTGTCTGAGGGACCACAAACCCCAACTGTTGGGGTGCGGGCCACACTTACTCATTATGGCTGTTTCTGTTTGTTTTTAGATAATTCCGACTGAGGAGTGTAGGTTTGTTGTATTTGCTGATGATGTGTCTCTGCCTGACTGTTTGACAGGCGGAATGTGTGGAGGTGAGCTTTTGTGTGATCGGCCAAGAGGAGGCGGCAACAGTACGATTAGTTTCTTTCTGATGCTGCTGCGTTCTGAATGACCTGTGTAAAAGAAACGTATCAAAAACACTGAACATTTCCATCTGTTCGCTGACTGATCAGTGTGGACGCACGCTGAGACTGAAAACGGAAAGATTAACATTGGAAATTCTCGAATTGAAGTAGAATAATGTTGGGAAAAGGCTAAATTAAGTGGTCAAGGCAGTCTTTCTCCTTCGAAAGACCTGACAGCTGATTGAGGTAGAGGTTTGACGGTGTGGAAGCTTAGTCCTTCTCTGGGGACTCTCCAGCCTCCTCCTCCTCTTCTTCTTCTTCTTCTTCTTCGTCTTCTTCCTGTGGATGCAAACAAAATGATCTATGTCATTTCAAAACTGTTTTTTTTTTTTAAAGTCGCTCACACTCTCACTTAAAGATGAGGCACGACCACAACCGCATCTGCTCGGTGACTTGTTCACAGGGTTAATCAAGCGGCTAATTGCTACATGGTCGCAGAGTCAATGGTTAACCCCTGACCGGAAACGGTCATGCGCATGACAAGACAGAGCTGTCCCTGATGGAGAACCGCCCGACCGACAGGGCAGCCATTCACAGTTCATAATGCAAAGGTGCATTTCGGTCAGTTGATGCTGAAGAGATGTGTGTTGCTTTTACTCATGGACCTATGGCCCATCTGCTCCACGTCTTAGCTTGTGTGGAGGTGAGGGGGCTTGAAGCTGCTTGGCTTTTCAGCCCAATGTCTCTGTCTCTCCACGTGTCTGTCCAGCGTGTGTGTCTCTCGAAGGCACAGCTCCGCCACTGCCTTCTAAACCTGAGGATCAATCAGCTAACAGCTCTCACCTGCGCTGATTGATCCTCTGCGGTGCAGGTGAAACTGCTCTCCCATCCCCCTCACCTCCACAGCTTTGTTTGCAGGAAAATTCAAGCAACAAAGAAATGTCAATAGGGAAAAACTGGCACGCACTATCAATTTACGAAGACAAGGCATTCATCGATAGAACACAGATGTAGAACAATACTGCAGGTGAAGAACCCGTCATGAATCTGACGTTTTCTTAGCAAACGTATTCGATTTAAGGAAATTTGTGAATGAGGCCCAATCATCCTAATTTAAGAATGGATTTCCTTTCACTTTAAATGTAATCCAACAAATCCATGATCCAATAAAATCTAATTATGACAATTGTTGACTTTATGGAAATTAAAAATAAAGTTTCATTTATTACCCAGCCATGATAAAAAGCAAATTGTTTTGTAATTGTGAAGTAACAAAGCAAATCCTCAAGCACTCATTTTGTTTATTTTTTTTGTGTATAGGACTTTTGCATTGTGTTGTTGTTTTACATTTCTTCATGCAAAAGTTCAAAATGTGTCTAAAAAATAACGCTGAATGTGAATAAACTCACTGCAACAAGTGTTAATGATGGATTCAAAATTTTCCCAGAGGTAACGTTGCTTGATCCTTTTTTTAAGTGCACGGTGACCACTGTGACAACAAGCAGAGATGTTCCTCCTCCCTCCACAGATGAAATGGATTTCATTTTCCACATGGCTTCATTTTATGATGGGAGGCTAACTGATACAATTTATAACCCACTTCCTTTCCCAGACCATGGCGGTGCACCCATTCAGCAGACGCCCGCTGCCGAAGCCTGTCTGCATCCTGCAGCTCCAACTCCATTCATTAGTGTTCACACACTGCAGCCTTGAGTGCTCCGCTAAATGCTACCATGTGTGACGAGGGCAAATGAGAGCAGGGGGAAAAAGGTGGTGTTAGGGTGTGGGAGATGTCCGTGGATAAAACACTAATTTATTCAACCTATAGTGAGGGTGTTTTCTACCAGAATGATCTATCGCAGCATCATCAAAAGCTGTGATGTTTGTCAGTGGAAAAGCAAAATCTTTAACCACTATTTTTACAAAAGAATCCATATCAGCCTTCCTGCCACTTCACAATCAAAGTTTAGGTTTAGAGTTTGCAACAGGAACAGCCTGTCATAACCAACTCTGACTCTTGGTAGATCACGCATTCACACGTTCTTGACCAATCCAGCCCGACCTCCTCCAAACAAGGGTTGGACTCCTTTATCTCTCTGTTGACTCTCCTTTCTCTCTGATCTCATTAAGTAGACTCACATAGACTCAACTTCTGTTGCCTGGAGCCAATTGGCATCACTTTGCCTCTATTTGCATATTTCCATTCCCTCTGTACCCACTCATGGCTGTAACCTTTACTTAAGCATTGAATACAAATGGCCTCCTTTGTCATTCTCTAGCAATTCACTGATTTCTGGCCGATGACTTTGACCTCTTCCTGATGACTGATATAAGCTGTGTCCCAACTCAGGGGCCGTGGTCTGTGTGGTCCAAGAAGGAAGCGGCCTTCCTGTGCTGCAAAGATCGCAAAAGGCTGAGATGAAGTGAGACAGTCTGTGGTGGATTCCTACGATCAGTGTCAACTGTCACATCCATCCACCGATGCCTTGTTTCTAATCATCTCTCTTTGTCACTTCAGATCCAGTCACTGTCACAAGCCACTAATCACCTAATTCCCTTCACCTGAGTCTCCCCACACACACACACACACACACTCACCTGCTCCCCATTCCCTCATTAGCTCATCTGTGTATTATACTGGTCAGATAGTCTAGTGTGTTCCTCTTATATTCTGTATTCTTGCCTGTTCCTGACCTGACTGCTACCCCGTTTGGATTTTGGATTCCCTTCTTGCCTGCCCCTTCAGATTTGTTTGCTATGCGGACTGATATCCTGGTGTTGACCTCTGTCTGTCTTTTCTCTGCTCTGTCGGCGAATAAACCACGTTGCCCACACTAACACTGTCTGTTGTTGTGCTCTTGGGTTCAGTTCTAGAACATTTTGATGCCCCTTGTTTGTTTTTTTACTTTTTAACCTCGTCTTGCCAGAGATTACCACTTTAAAAACAGGTGCAATGAATTGTGGGACAGGTTGGCCCAAGAGGGATCTGCCCATTGTAGGCTTTGTTTCTATGGGATAAAAGGAAGCCACATTTGGAGGAGCTTTTGAAATGGGGAAGCCTTGTTGCAGTGTCCCACTGTCTTCAAATGCAGCCTCCAAAGAATGCATCTCCTGAATTGAGCCATAGTAATCTCCACAGCTGTCACATGCCATTTAGCTGTCTTACAGCCCTATCATCTTGAAGTGTTGAATGCTTTGAGTGAGAGCTGACTCCTTTAGACTCGGGCTAGATGTTCGGACAGTAAAGCCTTGTTAGGGCATGGACATCTCGAATTTGGTGCCATGGCGGAAACGAACGGAAAAGTGGCTTTTTGGACCCCATTGTGTTCTACAGGATTTGTTGAATGTGAGTATGGTCAGAAGAATCTACCAGAGACGCAGCAAAAAGTTGCTTTTCATCCTCCATGAAGGAAGACCTATGCTAACTACTGCACATCAAATCTTATGCTTTAATAGTCAAATTGAAATTCAGTTTTCATGGGATGTGGGTCGGGGTAGAAACAATTAATTTTAGGATCCAAGAATTTCGTTTCGCTTACTGTAACAATGCAAGAGAGATTTTCATTAATGAAAGAATAATTCATGGACCTTGATTTTAAAGTGTTCAGGAAGCTGATTTTTACTTTCTATTGTGTGTGAGCAATTTAGTGCTGTTAGATCTGTGATCAATTCCTGACATTGATCATTGGAATCAAATCTTTCCTTTATAAATAAAGGCTCACTGCTGTTTCACATACTCTGTGAATGACAGTATGGAGAAGCACAGCTTTTTCCTTTTATGAGCACTATGGAGCATCTCTACTGAGTGAGCCTTGACAGCTTTGCCAGCAAAGAGTTAAACACTCTGCCACTCTGGGATGAGCGGAGCAGAAATAAGGTTGGAAATAAAAGGGAGGGCTTTGTGCTGTTCTGCCCTTATTCTCTACATTTTTGTCTTTATCAATTCTGCTATTGTGATTTTATAAGTTGCTTTGTGTGCGGTGATGAATTGAAGTAAAGTCTGTGGATTAGACTGACATTAGGTTCATATCAGGGACTTTGGGATTTGTTTTTAGGATCTGTGAAACCATCTCTCCATCCACATGATACCACAAAATGAAGTACACCTATACTAGACTATAAAAGACACTGTGGTGCATGTCAGTGCTGATTCTTTTTGATTCCTTTTTAAAAAACATGTGGTGAACAGAACACATTCTAGATAGGCCTTTGTTCATCAGCACAGTGTTGTGAAGCAGAAAAGAACAAGGCTCTGGTAGCTAGCAGAAGTTGTCACTTTATAGGGAGACTGTTCTATGTGCATGTGCAAGGTTGTAGTTTCCGGCGGGGTCATGCATTAACCCCACCCGACACTGTGCACTGGAATGAGAGTGGTTTGAGGTTTATTGTGGGGTGGTGGTGCTGCTGCTGCTGCTGGGGCCGATATAAAGCAGCCTATCAAAGCCGGAGAGAGCTAAATGACGTTTTTATGGCTTGCAGCTCCCAGGGCCTCACAGCACCTCCCAACTACCTCAGCACTGTTCCCACACAGCCACAAATCAGAGGCGAGTTATGCATTCACAGCAAGAGGTGGCCTGCACCAGCGAAAGGAGGGGGGGGTCCGGTGGATTCCTGGAGTGTGAGAGAATGCTGGGGGGTAGGGGGGGGGGGCTGGAGGGCCCTGTGTCATGTTTCACTCACTTATTACCAATCTGCTTTCGCTGGCTCTCTGATGTGGGCGCTCGCACCAGTGACACAAAACGGCATCTAATTATCTGCTACATGTGAACGCGCAGACGTGGAAGAACTGCAGCCGGCCTCGGAATTTCTCACCAAGAGCACCAGAGATAACTCACGTCACGTTTCACCCCTCCTGTATTTACAAGACATGACTTTTGCCACAGTTCTCATCAGGCGTGCTGGCCACGAGCAAAGTTGATGCTGAAGCAGCCATGCACGCAGATGTTCCAGGTCTCCGAGAAGCATCATTCCATTACCTAAACTTTCAACAAAGCCCGTATGAAAAACACAACAGAGACCCAAAACATGGGACCCACATACTCGTCAGTTGTGACTCATGTGTCAGGAGCAAAGCTGTAAAACCTCTTTAAAGGGAAGAGCTTGGCTGGGTGGTCAACAAAGCATGGAACTTTACTTTGACACAGGAGCCTGCTGGGTACTTTTTACTGTTTCCCACTGTCAGTTTGCCAACTTCATCCTTTCCTTGATACAAATTAAGTTGGTTTCACATGTAAACTTAACAAAACCTTAACCATAACGCTGTAGACCAGAAACCAAATGTCCAAATGTTACAAATGTCCTTTGTTATGGAACGAGAAGGCACTGACAAGCAATGTTAGTGTCATTCTGCGGATAGTGGTGAAACATGACAAGATCCTAGTGTGTGTGTGTGTGTGTGTGTGTGTGTGTGTGTGTGTGTGTGTGTGTGTGCACGTGAGATTTTGGAGGATGTTTTTCGTAGGTTTCCAAAATCTTTATCAGTATGTGGCCTAAAATTAGCAAACAACATCCATTTAAAGTACATGTAATTCATCCTTTATGTGTGTGTTGCGTCTGTGTGTAGTTGTCCATGCACAATCATAGAGTTTCTTACCTGAGCAGGCCTTTTCTGGACGACTTGTTGTGGCTGCAAAAGAGAAGATGGCTAAAGGTTAGTCATGTGTCTCCACTTTCTGTCAACATGGGCAAGAATAAGTTTTATTTACCAGAACATGTCACATAGTGGCTCAAAGAAAACTTAGAATTTAGGCCTGGCTGGTATAAAGATTCAAGTGGAAATGAAAGCCAGCCATAAAATAGCATCACACAGGACGATGTAGAATGCACAGTGTTTATAGGTCTGCTATAAACAATGAATGTATTGTATAATGATTATAATGAAATACAATAACACTATTAGGCCTTGTGCACACTTATGCTTCATGTTTTTCAAGGTAATGAATACATTTGATTATTTTATTGAATATGAATATTTGCCCAGTTCACATGGAATAAGTTTATATGGTAAGTGTTTGCAAAGGTGTTGATTATAGTATTACTACACAATTTTGCATTGTCTTGTCAGTGTACTTTCAGTGAGGTCCATAGTACAACATGTTTGTCATGATCGCATATCATGAGTCCAAAATTTGGGCCTGTACATATAGTGTGTGTTGAACTTTGGTTTAGTAAATACTACTCTTCCTGCAGGTCATGGACTTTAAGCGATGAAGCTTAAAAGTCACACTCAATATCTAGCTATGATAAATTGAAAAGGTTACACTGATAAAGTTAAATGTTGCCTGATCTTGAGACGGTCATTGAAATTTCACAATATCACATAAAAATAAATACTGCAAATTTGTGATAGACTCATTAATAGACTCCCATTGGTGCACAAAAGTGTTGAGTTGTACTCAAGCTGCTTTAATACATGGACTGAACTCTGGATAATCTTGTGAAATGATCCAGAGGGCCTGTATATGAGAACGCAAATGTCTGAGTCAGTTGCTGCGGACATTCTCTGGAGTTTTTCCTGCCAGCGATCTAGTAAAATCTCCACAGAATGTCAAAGTGAGAGAGAAAATCTCTAGAGAAACAGTCCATTTGATTTGGCAGGCACCTACTACTGCCCTCCATCTTCACTGGCATAGTGGTGACTCACGAAGTTCCCCCACCCAACCCTTACTGGCAAATGCACAAGATCCACAAATGCGCGAATGAGGATTTGTACTCACAATACTATGTTATTAAATGTGAATTCGTGCAAAGAAACAAATGTACATTTAATTCAGTTGTGCACAAATATAATTTATAAATCCTATACAAGTCATGTAACTAATATTTGCACAATACTTTGACGTAAAAATCTTTTAGATCCACCATCGATGTAGAACACCATGTAGACACAACCTGGATTTGTATTTGACTGAGGTCCTGTTTCCTTTTGGCCTTTGACAGCACGCACAGGAAGTAGCTCTGGACCGGAGCTGAACAGCTGAGCACTCCAGCAGCTCCGAGAATGTAATAGGGAAAATTTAGAGTCCCTGGTGCTTGTTAGCCCAACCAGCTGCCGGCCTTAAGAAGAGAGTTCCATGTCCCTAATCCCCCACGCCCACCAGATCAGTTCAAACAGCTGGTGTTTTCTTTGCCAGCTCTGGCTGGAATGTCAGTAGGCTCAAACACAGTAATGGAGTCGATGTCAACACCGGATGGGCCTTGCATTAGGAATGCAAGCAGCGGTGAAGGAATGATTTGGAATATTGTGCACAAAGACAAGACGATTCTGACCTTCTGAGCACTGTCAGTATATTTATAAGAGATTTTTTTTATCTCTTATAAAAAAAATTGAAAAAAAGATAAAACTGGGATTTGAATTTGGATTCCTGTGCACTTATTCCTAGTAGTACTCATTCCTAACTACTCCTGTATACACACACACACAAACACACATATGATTTACATCAAAGCAATCATCGATCAGCAAAGTTATGATTTTGACTTGCCTGTCCCAGTCAGAAACAGAACAATCAGTCCTAACTCGACATAATAATAAAGTTAATCTTGAAATTGACATTTAGAAGGTTGAATGTAAAACAATGGACCCTTCTCCCCTCTGGAAGGGGAGCCACCACCAAGTTTGTGCAAATGGAGGCCGAGGAAGGAGAACATGTCGTCTGTGCCGATAGTCACGTAGTTGACCATGCTGCATGGCACGTTCCAATCATTATTTCTGTTGAGTGCATAATGGCAGTGTTTTGGGACATCATTACCTTGTCGAGATTAACACACTACACCAGTGAGTACACTGTGTACCCAGTGTACTACATGTATGTGAATTTTATTTGTGAAATAAATAGTACAGAACTAAAGTTTGAGAATTTAGACCAAATCCCACAATTTCAAATATTCCTTTGGGTTAACCTCGATAATGATGTCATCTCTCCACAATTTCAAATAAACTCAAATTTGGCTTTATTATTAATATCATAGGTGACCACCTTAGTACCAGCATCAGTGAGAAATCCCTTTTTGACACATCATGTAATATAACAAAACAAAAATGACCCAGACAGTGCTGGCTACAAAATAAGTACGCAAGTGTTTCAGTCAATACTTCCAAAGTAACAACAGGTGTACAATACGCTTTGAAGAGTCAAACGAAATAACCATAAAGACAAAGAGTCATCAATGTTTACAGTCTGTAAGTAATAAAATCTACAGCTGCAGTGCATCTGGGACAAAGTTTTCCAAAATAACAGTGAAACCTACTCTTTACGTACAGAAGCCACTCCTGCTAGTAACCTCCCATTCCGCCAGCCCACAGCCCTCTTCGTCTGTTACACAAAAGGGAAAGCATTGTCTTTCAGAGTTTCTGGCAGATCTTTGATGTTGCTGGGTCCACTGTGGGCAGCTTCAACCACTTCAATATATAAAACTAAATTGGGAGCATTATGGTGGAAGCCAGCTGAAAGCCAATCAGTGGCTCCAAGAATGCAGCGCTGCAGGCTCTCGGCTCTACAACCACACAGCAGCCTCCTTCCAGAAGTCTTCCTCTGATTAAAGAGAGAAAATTGCCTCCGCTCCGCTGAGCACCTTGTACAGACCACCATTCACAAAAGCCCCACCCATCACGAGAGGTGGGCCCCTCGCCCTGCTCCCTCTCCATCACCACAGTGGCTGTCCACAACACTTTTCACTGTGGCTGAGAGTGACTGACTTACTTTATGGGTTCTCAAACTAGTCCCATATATGCTGCAGTGGTGTCATCACAGCTTCCCGTAGATCAGCACAATCCACAATTCAAAAGTAATGAATCTAAAGTACAGGATGAACAAACGACTTGGTCAATAGGATCCATGGATGCTTTTGTAATTGGATGGCTGTTGATGTCTTCCACTTCACAAAGAACCGTGTGAAGGCCTTCTTTATACAAGTGCACATTCAAAGACCCAGGACTTTACCACGTTTCCTGAAAGTGCCACTCCAGTGTGGACTGCTCAAATGGGCAGGCGGGTACACTTCACTTCCTCTGCTCCTCACTTCAAATCCTAAACAAATCAGCATCTTCCATTGCTTGCCCAGTCTAGTGAAATGGATTCTGATAGGTATCACCACTGGCCCTTTCAAGAATCTGTTCATCAGTCCGAATGATGAACTGGTAAGATCCAAGCCCTTTAGGAGCTGAGCATTAAGACATCTTAATAATAACCATCCTTTTATAAGCTGGTAATGGCCTTTTGCTTACTTGCTGAGTTTGTGATTTCACAGGGTCAAAAGTTTCATTAACTCTGCAAAGCACCTGCATCCTTGCATCACTCTCAAGCAAAAAATAATGTTTCAAATGAGGCCAAGACCCCTTTGTCTTGGAATGTTCCCCCTGCCCACTTGGGCATAAGCCTCGGGAAGTTCTGTTATCTTCTTTTCAGGTTCACGTTTCATTAATTTGTGCTTTGCCATCAATGACCAGCCTCTAATTTAAGATGGACAGAAGTTCTAGTGGCAGCAGACTTTCTTCCTGAAAGATTTGTGTGATCAGGTTGCCATGATTACTCAACATTTTGTATTGCATCTGTCTTGACTATGGAAGCAGTTGGTGCTTGAGGTTCATCTGCTGAATGCAAATCTTCATTCACTGCAGCATCATAAGCTTGAACTAGTTGTCGTTGAGCAATTCCTTGTGTTCACTCAACCACCGCTTAACATCCTCCTCAAATGTGTGGCTGTATTCCACAATGCTGGCAAATCCTTGTGTTAGTTGGTTCCCCCTTTGGGATAAAAGAAGTCAACATATCATTTTCACAAAATTGTGAATTCTTTCTTTTTGCGTTTTTATTTCTGATATTGAGGTTTTGTAGAAGCTTTTCAGTTTTGATCTAGAGTATATTTTATTATTGTATGGACAGGCAGTCAATGCATGCAATCACCTTTCTAAGTAAAGCAAATAGAGAAAATAGAAACTCCACAGCTGCGGCAAAAATAAATCCTGCGAGCAGTGTAGTGCACACACAAGCTTGCATGCAATGATCAGAACAATTAGCAAGTTGCATCATTCTGAGTTTCATGCACCACAAGTTCCTAGGTTCACTTATCTGTTTGTTCATTCTCAATGTGAAATATAACCAGTCCGTTCAGCCTCTCTCTCGCTTCACTCCAAGTTCAAGTTTCAGGTTTCTGAGGTGAATGACTGCTCTGCAGCCACAAGTGGGTTTTTCAAAAACAACACAAAGGTCGTTCAGACATTAATGAAGTTAGAACTACCTAAGTAAACATATAACCACCAACCACGAGCCATACCATGCATGAACTTGTTGGTCACACAATATTGTGGATGTGTTTTGATTTAGGGTTGCATCAAACCAGTTGTGCATTGTTATAGTTGTACAGTAACAACTATGGTATATATGTTGTGAAAGAAACTACTCCACTGTGAAGCCAATAACTAAGTTGTACATTTCTAGTGCCAATCCAAGAACCAGACCTGAGCTTGGGTCTCGATATGACCTGATGTCAGGGACCAGAATTGTATTTCCCCACGTGGGTTCTGATGATGGGTCTCCAGGATGTAGGTTGATCCCACCAAAGCTGTCCAACAAATCAGTTACCTGCCAGTCGGTATAACTTTGTGTTTACTCCTCGTGGTTTGTT